ATTTGAAAATTTGGCGGCACAATTTTAGAATTTCGCGGCACACTTTTGCTAACTTGAATGCAAGAAAATTCAAATTATGTATCAATATTTCTATGCAAAATATAAGTAATATACATCTCTAACATTCAATTTGCTAATTTCGTTATTTTAAAAAGTAAAAAAATGAAAAAGAAAAAAAGAAAAACCAATACAAACGTGAACATAATCATATGACTAAAATTCGGCGGCACATTTTTAGAATTTCGCGGCACACAAAATTACCGCGGCACAGTGGTTGAGAATCACTGGGCTAGAGAGTGCTGTCTTCTACATTGTCAGCGGAGACAACGTCCCATTTTGACGAAGCGATCGATTAAAAGATCCAAATATCAGAGCTAGTTGAACGACGTATTCTTTCTTGTTAATACCAGAACGAACTCCGATACGCCCAGGATAGGTTTGTCGCATGAAGAGGGTTCCTTTGATGGTCCTCAAAATACACTCATGGACAAATATTAAGGAAGTTGTACCTTTTAGAATGTATATCGGGATTCAGACAATAACTCTGTAAGATATTTGATACACAGTGACCTTTATTGAAGACATACGAGATAACCAAGTATGAACAAAATTGACTTTTGTTTCCTTAAAAAAAAAAAAGAAAAACAGTGGACCGGCGGCATTAAAGACTATCCACTTCCTTAAGTTTTGTCCATGAGTGTATATACAGTAAAACCTTTCTTGTAAAGGACACCTAGTTGTAGAGCTAAAGTGTCCTTTAGAGAGAGGTGCTGCTAAAAACCGGGAAGTTGCTAAATGGTAAAAATAGTCATTTTGGTTATGAAAACCTATGTCCTATGTCGACAATTAATATAATTTAATTGACATCTTGTCAATACATGCATAAGTGCACAGTCTGTACTATTGACCTTTGTAGAGAGGAGTCTTCTAGCGAAAGTTTCCTCTCATGGAGGTTCTATTGTAACATCGAAACGTTCCGGCAGTTGATAATCTATTATTTAAAAAAAAAAAAAAGATTGGAAGTCAGTGGTTTAAAGGAATGTAATTCCCAGACCATCTACTCTCATGTATGGAAGTCACAACTTGTACCACAACTAAACAAGATACATGTGTCTCCATTACATTGTGTAATGACAAAAGGGGTAATATAATAAAATAAAAATGAATATGCTTAGTGTCCGAAGTTGGGTCAGTGATGCCTATGCAACGGCAGAGGGAATGAGAACATTGTGGGGATCTGTTCAGAGGATAATCCATCTAGATATGACGTGAAAAAAGACAGCATGCTTAGAATATCATATTCACCCGTGACTTCTAAATACACCTATCCCCCGATTTACACGGTAGATACGTTCCTGAGAAAAACGTGTAAATCGGGGGATAGGTGTACACAGAAATAAAATGCATTGACATGTTAAAATATGTAGTCAGCACATAAGCTCGGGATTCCTCGTGAGATGTGTACACAGCGCATGTGTTCAATCACAGTAGCATTTAGTATAGTGCGATAAAAAAAAACTTATTTGGAAAACCGTGTAAAAGCGAAAACGTGTAAAACAAGTACCGTGTAAATCGAGGGATAGGTGAATTGTTAAGAAAAATTAAAAAAGGCATTTATCTTGATCGTGTACTACAAGTTACTGATGGCTTATGCTATCTGTCAGAATAAATATCAATTATTCATTGAATAAAAAAAAATCCAGAATTGGCCAAATACCCATTCTTGATTAATCAAGAAAAGCTAACTAACATAACGTGTTTCGGGCTGTTGGCCCTCATCAGCGTGGTACAAGCTGTACCTCAACGACCAAAAAATACTGGTCATTCAGGCATCCTTAAAAATCATGAAACGGGTAGTTAAGGTCAGAATTGCTTGAGAACACCAAACAATATGAAAAAAAAAATTGCCACGTGGAAAATTAGGGAAGACAAAAACTTCAGGAGGAGACAACAATTTATTTCAGGGAATGGCAAACTATGAATTGTAAACAAAAGATAAGCC